GACGGGTAAGCCTTGCGCACTTCTGGGCCTGACTGGGCAGGTACCAGATACAGGCCATATTGAGTGCAGATCGGACGTCAGTGGTTTTTATAAAACGAGCTTCGATCATCTCTCATTCTATTTCTCCTGCTGTCCAGTCGCTCGCTCGCTCGCTCGTTCCCTCGGTCGAGTCGCTGTTCTCTTCGCCCTTCGCCATCATGTTTCTCCTCAAGAGCCTTTCTGCGGCCATTGTTCTGTCGGCTGCCTGTGTTGCGCTGCCAGCGACGGAAAGAGTCGATTTTAAGAGCAGTGTCGTGGAGAAGCTCAAGGGTCCTCCGGTTGGCTGGGTAAAGGATGAGGCCGCGAAGCTGGATAAAGATGCGACCTCGGTGACGCTGAAGATCCATCTTGTGAACCAGGACATGGACAAGTTCCATGAGCTTGCTATGAACGTACGATGACTCCTTGGATGCACAGATTCCGTTTATTGAACGCATGCTAATATCGCCCAACAGATCGCAACTCCAGGCCACGCATTATACGGAAACCATATGTCGCAAGACGCGATTCTTTCCATGATTGCGCCCAAGAAAGAATCGAGCGAACTCGTCATGCAATGGCTGGCAAACGAGATGTCGAGCAGCGAAGCAAAGGTCACCCTGAAGGGCGACTACGTTACAGTCCTAGCAAGCGTCAATACGGTTGAAAAGCTTTTGGACGCAGAATACAGCACCTTTGGTTCGTGATCCCGTCCCGCCCCTACGCCACCATTCTCTAACTTCCGTAGTGCGTCCTGGGACTAGCGAGAAGACGCTGAGGACGCTCCAATACAGCCTCCCGGATGTCCTAAAGGGCCACGTCGACATGGTCCAGCCAACCACATTCTTCGGCCTGAAGTCTCTGCGATCCACTATCTCTGAAGTGCACCCTATCGAAGACGAAGAAGAAGACGAAGAATTCAGCATCGAGGCCGTCGCAGCAGTCACCGGATGCACCGGGACCCGCATCACGCCAACCTGCCTGTCCAACCTGTACAACTTCGCCAGCGCCAAAGTCCAGACCGTCGGTCTCCTTGGCATTGCGGGCTTTCTCGAGGAGTACGCCATCAAAGCCGACTTCACCACCTTTTTGAACTCGTATGCCATTACCGCCTTTAACAACAAAGCCAAAAGCTTCACGTGTGCTGTCGTGAATGGAGGCACGTGTCCGTCTTCCCCGCCGGGCGTCGAAGCTAACCTCGACGTTCAATACGCTGGCTCCATCTCGACGTCCGTCCCAAACACATACTACAGCACCGCTGGTCGTGGACAGTGGCTCGGCTCTGGCACCAACACCAACGAGCCGTACCTCGAGTTCCTGAACTACATGCTCGCACTTCCCGATGCATCGCTGCCAAACACTCTCTCCATCTCCTACGGCGATGATGAGGCCACTGTTCCCCTCGCCTACGCGACCAATGCCTGCAATCTATTCTCGCAGCTCGGCGCCAGAGGCGTATCCATCCTCGTTTCGTCGGGCGATTCCGGCGTCGGCGACACCTGCACGGTCAACGGCAAGGCCCAATTCACCACGGCATTCCCCGCCGCCTGCCCCTGGGTGACCACCGTCGGCGGCACGACGGGTAACTCGCCTGAGGCCGCCTGGTCAGGTGGTGGTGGCGGCTTCTCTGAGATCTTCGGCCGCCCGAGTTATCAGAACGCCACCGTGTCCAATTGGTTGGCTACCGACACTACCCACACGGCCGTCACCAAGTACTTCAACGCGTCCGGACGTGCTTACCCCGATATCTCGGCTCAAGCGACTAATTTCATCATCGTTGCAGGGGGCAGCGCGAGCGGTGTTTCCGGAACTTCGTGCTCTGCGCCGACGACGGCGGGCATCATTCAGCTGCTGAACAGCGGCCGGATTGCGGCAGGGAAGAAGGGTCTGGGGTTCTTGAACCCGTGGCTGTATAACACTGCGAGCACGGGCTTCACCGATATCAAGTCGGGTAAGATCACAGGCTGCAGTGGCCAGATTTCTGGTGCTGGATTCAGTGCTGTTGCTGTAAGTTCCTCCCACTTCCTTTCTTAGGATCTGAGCTTTGCTTTGTATGGACTCCGTGACTGATATTGAAATCATAGGGTTGGGATCCGGCTACCGGCCTTGGGACGCCGAATTACGGCTCTCTGCTCACGTTTGCTACTTCGACTGCGTAGGAGCTGGTTGTTGTCGTTGCGGGTATATATGGTTGTGCATGTTCCCTAGGAAAAGGAAGATATAGATCTGGGAATGATATATAAATGCATCAGGGATTCGTAATTCTATTCAATGAAAAATGCCTATAGTTGGCTTTCATGGTTTATGACAGCCTCCTAGGTTTCCAGGAAACTGTCGAGCTAATTGATGTCGGACTGATCAAAAAATACTCCATCCTTATCTTGTATTAACATTCTCAGCTTTGTGTAGCTTTCCTATAGTTCCTTTGTTCCTTTGCTGCTGGTCAGATTCTCTCTCTATAGCACTCTTCGACGTTGACGAGGAGTAGCCGAATAGAGGGAGGTGCGGTTGATACACTGGTAAGAATTTCAACTAATGTAATAGACGAGAAAAGAAATACAGGGACGAAAGAATAATCCGAGTGCAGGCGAAAACCACGATCCAAAAACGACTTTGCGGGTTCGACGTTTTCGATAAAGCGTTGACTCGTAGACGCGGAATGCGGGGTTGAAAAAAGACAGTGCCCTGGATTAAGAATCAAAAGGGGTCATAGAGTCCATCCGGTTACGAAAGAGGTTTACTGCATGAGCGTCATCATAGGGAAGGTTAGCTGCGAGAGAGAAATGATGACTAGGCCAGAAGAAAAGGGGAGAAGAAGTTCGATATGTTAGACAAGCTGGTAGTTGATAGCTAGAGAAGAGAAGATAGTTTATGCTGGTAGCGATTGGCAAGCCGTAGCGGATCCATTCCTTCTCTCCAAGGTAAATTCCCATGTGCTTGAGCTTCTCTCTGAACTTGACGATGCAGATGAGCTGTGTAACAAGACACCCCTGTCCATCTGGGTTGCGACATAGATTCATTGCACGGGCTCTTGCAGGCAAAGAAGCCTTCGTAGGAAGTGCTGAGAGCGAAAGAATAAGAGGAGCATGTTGTCTTAAAAAGGCACGAGTAAATAAGCAGCATAAGTAATTTCATCAATTACTCCATTAAAATGTCATTAAAACCACGCCCATGACTCCCTGTATCACTCGCACCCTAGACAGCCACCATTTCGCATTTTCGGTAGTCTACCATCTCCGGCCGAGAAACGTGACCGGGTCCTCATTCCCAAACTGCATCGCACGTGAAAAGGACTCATGAGAAGTCGTTGGGCCAGCACTTCTCCTTGGGCCACAGCGTCTGATCGTGGGTCAAGGCGTGCTGCTCGAGCTGGACCTTGTTGGAGTTGACAATCTCGCGGCGGCAGTTCTGGCACTAATTCACGATGATGCAGTTAGGCTGCTGCGCTCATTTCAAACCTTGGATGTTGCTACTTACGATCGAGGTCGGCTTGGGAGCCTTGACGGGAAGGCCGTTTGGCTTCACTGCGGCCCGTGTGCCGGCCTTGTCGGCCTTCTTGTGCTCGCGCTGGATCTATCGCGCGGGGTGAGCCCGTGTAGATGAAGAATGTAGGTTGCTGATGGGCTTACTCTGTCCTTCTTGGAAATAGGCATGATGGTGAATGGGAGGTGAGAGTGGCAGACTCAGCTATGGCAGATGCCTTTTGTTGTGCAGGCTGTTTACTGTTGCCGTCGCGGTTGGTGGCAGGAAAGATGGAGGCAACGATAAGAAAAATTCGGAGGCGGTGTGCGGCGCTTAACTTGACAGGGCTTATTTCCGAATCTTACCTGCATGAGTCAGCTGATACGAAATCCCTCGCCTTTGCAGTCCTAGCCCATCTAGGCTAGCTCTGTTTTTAATCCCGGAGGAATGAAAAAATACGTGAAAGCAACGAGGGTAGTTATTGAAAATATACCTAGGCAGATAATTGATCTGTGTTAATTATTGCCCAGTCATTTTCAACGTCTAAGTTTGATTCACCAATATAATTAGCTATAGGAATCAATACTAAACCATGCAAGGGGCAAAATTCGTGTCAAATATCTACTGGGAAAATGTGTGCAGAAGGTGCTTAGGTATGTTCAGATGTCCTTGATGTATGTAAATCTCAACCGCAAGGCAAAGCCGCATTTTCTATCTCGGTATTCCTTTTTGCAAACAAAGAGAATCCATTGCCCTCAAGCACAGTGATCACTCTTTCCAAACCCGCCATCAATGCAACCATTCGAGCATGCCGAGAAGTACGCGATAGCCCCATTATCATCTTGCTTGCAAAGGAAGAGTGTGTTGTTGATCCAGTATTCGTTCATATTTGCGTTTGCGTCGATGAGCGTGGAGCGGATTGTGCTCATATAGTCTCCTACGTCAAGTGTCAGCTTTCCACGGCGCTATTGAGAGGAATCAGGGGGTAAGGACCTCGACGAAGGAGATTGTAGCCACAGTAATAGATGTGAGATCTGCAGTTGTCGGCGAGGACAAGACTAGAGCAGGAAATGGCAACGGCGAGGGAGGCGAGAGCGAACTTCATCTTAATGATGGGTATGGGAGATAGAATGAACAGATGCGATTGGAGCTGTTCCTGTTGCTGGGTGAAAAGTAGAGCGAAGTAACGATAATGGCGCTGGTTGATGTTGATGCATCTTTTCTGAAGCTTCTGGTCTTCTTATATACAGGCAACTTCCAAGAGAAAATTTGTCAAGGCGTTCCTTCCCCACAGCTTCAATCTCGTCGATACGGCTTCGCGTTGCATATCGACGTTACACTCCGTTGTGTATCGCATGATTTTAGAGGCAGAGCGGTGCAAGTCCAGCGGTGTGAAGCAAAGAGTACAAATGAGGAGCTGAAGTCTCGTCTTATATTAACTTAAAAGAGACCCGCGCTGGTCATAAAATGGCAAAGCGCAACCACCCATGCACTCGCTTAATATTGAGGCTGAGAAGCTCCGGCTTGAATTGTACTCGGTGCCCAGTGGCTATGGTACACGGACGCTCGTAATTGGGTTATACTTCGGCACGTAGACTTCACAATCATTCCTCGAGTGGGGAATGATGCTTGATCTATGTATTATTCGATTGTAATAGCAGAGAGCGGGCAATCGTGGAAGGCATGCGATCGAAAATGATCACGCACTTGCTGCTGTTCCTCATATGTCATGCCTGGGGACGTTTTAGCGAGGTCCTCGCCTTTGAAGTCAAAATACCCAACCCGCCGAAACGCCCCCTTGCTGAAATCTTGAGTAAGGAGTAGACCGTACGGACGAGCGAGAAAGTTCGATCCCGGATCATCATCGTCCGGGGCATGATACGGTACTACTTCTAAACACCATATAGATTTTGACAGATCCTGCTTGAAGAGATCCATATGACCGTCAAGTCGTGCTCGAATAGAAGCAAAAGCATTGGATCCCCAATCGTCCTCTGTGTTCCCAGAATAGAAGTGGGCGAACGTAAAAACGTTTCTGGGATGTGGTGTATCAACGTATGCTTTTCGTATCCGGCCTTCCAATTTGATTACTCCACTTTTCACAGCTCCAAAAGGCGCCGACTGAGACTCTAGCTCAATCTCGTACCCCAGTAGATTGATGCTTGCATCTCTGAGGTCTAGCTCCTGGCTCATAGGCCAATCCACACCGCCGTCCACTGAAGTCCACGACCATGAAGGTGAACGTCGAACACACAAAGGTTTTACGGTCGTTCCGATCCATAGGAGGTCCAGGATGAAATTGGTTTCCCAAAGACCAGCAATGTATTTTGCGTTGACAATTTTGCCATACGTTTCCGCAAGACCTGATATGGCCCAGGGTCTGTCGGCTGCAACTGTTAGGCTTCTTTTCGTGAATTCTTTCACCAAATTCTGCCAAAGATGAACCACAGGACTGAATTCGTATCTCTTAAAGGACTTTTCCAGTTTTAGAAGTTGATGCCATTGCTCAGGCCTCGGCACGCGCCATTTCGACGGGGAGAGAAGGCTCGAGCTCATCTCATCAAGGCTACCCTGGTATGAGATCAATGGCCCACCATCACAGGCATTTGCTGACTTGCAACCCCATCTTAACTGCCATGAGCCATACGTTAGAACCCTTGGTGACATTAGTCGTTCTTGTAGCGTCCACCCTCGGGAATGGAGAGGCTCTTCGTCTAGGCGATGATTTTCCCCTTGGTATATGTATACATGTCCAAGCTGGCCGTTAGGGCACATGTATGGGAGCATTTGTGCATGATGCCGACTCGGGGTGCTCTTCCTTCGACCTAAGAACCCCACACGAGATGAATTTGTGACCGCGGCCGCAATGGTGCAATATGCTCCTTGGTACACGGCCGGCATTGTGGCAATTTCTCTCGCAACATCTTCACGATCATCCTGAACTATGCATAGAGCGTCGATCCAGAGAAATCGGATCTTGAGCCTTCGCGTTACTGTGATGGCATCTTTTAATGACTGACCTAGTTTCTGAAACGGTATAGAAGCCATCAAATTAGGTAGTTCCGCTACAGTGGCTTTGACCTCTTGGTCTCCGCCCCAACAGTAGCTGAGGGCTAGATACTTTGCCCTTTCATCTTGTCGTGGGACATATAAACGTGGATTCTCCGAGTCAATCGTTCCAACATCAACGACTCTGGTTGGTAGCCGAGATAACTCAAGCTCGCGACACTTTGGGTGCTCGTTTTCGCACCCGTTGAGCCAGCGTGTGGCATTTTCAAGAGCCAACTTAGATCCGACGTCTAAATTGACAGGGCGCACGGGTATGTGATCCCCGGCTGGGTTGTCTACCACACAATCAGCGCTGACGTTGCTACTTCGCGGCCGTGTTGGGCAAACGGAAAAGAGCGTACCTTTCTCAGCAACAACATGGAAATCGTCATCGCTAGCAACTCCATGTCTCCCATCTTCTTCCAATGTCCAATATCGTATTCCGAACTTGTTAATCCGAAGCCCGTAAGGCTTCTCCAGAGTCGATCTCAGCACCATGGTGAAGTTAAACTTATTCCGTGTGAGAGTGTCAAGGGCGAATCGGTGATAGTATCGCCACTCCAACCAGCGAAAGAATGGGCAGCCATACTCACCAGCTGCGACCATTTCCGCACGATCTTCACAAAGAAGGATTTGTTGTCCCCGCACCAACATCCTTGAATTAATCACTATGTGGCGACAAAATACGCAGATGTGTGGCGCCGGAAGCCCGTTTTCGAGGAGGTTTGGTGTGGGTTCCGCAGGGTCTGGCCATTCGTGGTCACTAACAATGTCTTCAGCCGTCGGTAAGTCATCGAAGTCAACTTCTTCTTCGGTCTTTGTGATGGGATTGTATGTCGCGAAGTCGTGCCATTCCTCCAACGGGTTTTCACGCTCGGGCCCAAAGTCGTCATCTACGTAATCTCCGTTCATGGAATCTTCATCAGACTCTTCATAAACAAAGACCGAGCTAGTGGCAAAGCTAGTATCAGCTCGAGTTCCGAAACGAGTTGTGTTGATCTCATACCTAGCGCGACTTGATGTCTTGGGCTTGATGGAGTGGCCTCCATAGCTCGGTAAGACACTCCGATTCGCCATGTAGCTGATTTCGTCAGAACCTTGGTTGAGATTAGAATGTATTCGAAGTATATTGAAGCGCTTCAGAGCAACAAGTTTCGCACGGAGTTGAAGTAAAATTATACCTAAGAAGCTAGGCAACAATAGTGGGAGGCTGCGTTCTGATATACCCCGCAGCTAAACGCTTCCACTAGCCTCAGGTGCCGTTACACTATAGTGTGGGATAAGCGAACATTTATCTCGTCAGTGCTTGAAGACCAAGGTAGTTAGAAGTCCGGTAGAGAAAACCATTGACGGTGAAATCAGGGACCCAAACGCAGTCCAATTAGCTTTCGCAAACACCGATGTAAAACCTTCGAGAGTATGACCAAATCATGTATTTTCATTATGAGTAATTACGTGTTCAAGTAGAGCTTGAGAATATAATTAACGGGAACCCTCATTATTTGTTACAGTTGCAGCCTTGTCCCCGCCCAATTCCTTCACTAGAAATGTTTATAAAAGAAAGGAAGAGCATCCAGAGATGGTAGATGCGTAAAGTAGCCAAACACCCTTGATCAATTCAGTCGGAACTTGAGGGTCTTGTACTCCTTTGAGCACAAATGAATTGGAGCAGCCTGTCCGGCGATCTGGTAAGTGATGGAGCAGGACTTGGTATATCCCTCCCAAGGATCCGGGTTGAAAAGACTATTATTGACTGTGAACTCGGTGCCCTTCTCCGCATATGCATACAACTTGTCGTAGATAGCTTTGTGCTCTGGATAAGTGTAGGATTTGGCGCCATACTCGACGGTCAGGATATTGATGTTCTTGCCAGGGATAGTTGGAACAATGAGACGCTTCTCGGCTTCGGTGAGACGGGTCTTGAGGTCCTCGGTCTTCTTCTCGGTTTCGGCAATACGGATTTGGAGGTTCTCGGCCTTCTTCTCGGTTTCAATGAGGCTGGCTTGGAGATCCCCGGCCTTTTTCTCGGCCTCCTCGATCCGTTTGAGTCCATCGGGAGTGACACCACGCTTGTTGGCGACCTTGTAGGCCTCGAGCGCGTATGACTGCGTGGCCTTCTCCTTCTCTACTTCCTTCTTAGCATCAGCTAAATCCGAGTTGGCCTTTTCTAAAGCCACGTTGATAGCGTTCAACTTCTTTTCGGCGTCTTCCTTCTCTTCGGTGGCGTTCATCATGCCCGGAATGACGATCTCAAGTTCGGATTCTAATTCTTTAATCTTGGCCTGGAGATTCAATGCCTCGGACTTCGCAGCGTCGAGGTCCGTCTTTAGGCCTCCGATGTCTGCCTTTGCCTGGTTAAGTTCAGTCTGAGTCTGGGTGAATTTTGCAGTCGCAGCATCCTTCTCGATACCGAGTTCCTTGACCTGCTCTTTGAATGATGCAATGGTCACATTCGCATCCTTAAGATCCTGGTCAATCTTGTGGATACTCTCCTTCGCAGCAACGACCTCGGCACCGAGAGTGTCGACGATCTTTTGTGCAGCTTTGAGGCTGCTTTCCGAAGTGGTGAGCTTTCCGGTAGTCTCGGTCAAACTTTTTTGGAGCTCAGCATTGCTCTTATTGGCCTTGGAAACATCGGTTCGTAGGCCCATCAATTTTGAATTGAGCTGCGTGTTGGTCGCTGCTTTCTCGTCCAAGGCGGTCTTTGTCTTTCTCAACGAGGCTCGGACGACAGTCAGCTCCTTCTCGGCAGTCTCCTTAGCTTTTCGCTCGGCATTAGCCCGCTCTTGCTCTTTCTTCAATGCATTGTGGTCCTCTGTGTGGTGTTTGTTTTCTTTCTCCCACTTCGCGTGTTTCTTAGCTGCCTCCTTGTCTGCCTTGGACAGCTGATTGAGAAGCTCGGCCTTGGACTTGTTGGCCGAATCGAGATCAGCGCTGAGATCTCGGACCTGCTGTCTGAGGAGCTTCTCTTCTGCAGCCTCCTTGGCTGCCCGATCCTCCAAATCCTTGATGGTGTGGGCGCGCTCCTCTGACTCAGCTGTGAGTATTGCGAGCTTAGTCTCCACGCCCTCTGTCCTCGCATTGGCAGCTTTGACGTCGTCACGAGACTTGTCGAGGTCAACCTCGGTGGTATCAAGGACAGTGCGCAGTCTCTCAATCTCGGTAGCAAGCATATTCATCTGCTTAAACGATTTCTGCCCAAGATGTTAGTGTCAGTTTTCATGATAGGGACAAAAGTGAAAGGTAGACTGACCTTCTCCTGGGCGACCGTCATGCTCGCAATGCGATCAACGAACGCGTCCGTCCATGCAATGAGATCGTTCAGCTCCTCAGGAAATGGAAGAGGGCGGCGTTCTCTAGCCACGCTGGCGTCCACACTTGGATATTCGCATTCAAACTCCTGGATGATCTTGGCCGGCTTATATTCGAATTTCTCTGGAACAGGCATCACGCAGATAATCCTGTCATCAAGTTTTTTGGGGGCAGGTTCAGCATTGCCATTCTTTGTGACAGTCGTTGGCTTGGGTTCGTGCACGGACCTTTCCGGCACGGGCATTGCGCAAATAATGGTACCACCGGCTTTGGGCGACTTAAAGTCTAGCACATCTGTCTTCATGATAGGAGTAGTCATGTTGAGAAGAATTACGGGAATAGAATGAATGGGAAGAGGTGGAAGGCGGTGTTCAGTCTGCGGTTGACAATTCTGAGAGCTTGAAGGAGATGTTCGAAGTCTGGATGATTTGTTTCCATTCACCAGAAGGTTCGGGGGTTTATATAGACCGGGAACTGTAGCACTTCAGGTATCTGTGGAGAGACTTGATAGATGGGCTGAAAAGCGCCATGGCTGGACCTTTCGACTCCGAGTGAATCGATATCCACGATAATAGAGGCTTGTATGCCAAAGTAGCTGTTTACGCGAAAATGGACGCAATATTCAGCCGTTCAAGGTTTCGTGCTTCGTGCTCAGGTGGGATGAAAGTGCTGCAGGAACGCCATAGGGATTTCTCGGCTATGAACGAATGTGTTTTTATCAGAATCAAGTTATGTGTACCGAAGCAGCTCTCCGCGCGAGGCTGGAGGCGATGATCAACCTTGCAAAAGCTCCCGCTCGGGACGGGTCGTGCCATCCACGTGCAACCCGAGGATTCTAGACCGACCCGAATTGGCCATTGCTTAAATCTAGAGCTTCCATCCTACGTTGTCGGGTTGGTAAATGATACATCTAATAAACATGGATGAACCGAGAAGGGGTCCTGTGGCAGCCTCGTGGGCCGTGGCTGGCTGTCAATTTCAGCTATCGCTTCCACGCTGCAGTGTTCCCCGCCGACCCGCCCCGTTTCGGAAAAGCCATTTCAGGAACAGCCAGCCACAATTCTGGAAACGCCGAGATAAAGGGTCCTGTGTAGGAATGGACGTGCTCATGATTATTGACCATTCCGTCTCCGCAGGCCTCGAATACTCAAGTGGAGGCCCAGAACATGGCCAGCGATAATGAAAGATGATCCCTTTATGGATTGACAAGTTCTCCGCCTACTTGAGGGCTGCGAATTTGCTCATTAAAAACTGCTGCGAAATGCGGACGAACGATTGCGTAGGTTTGATACTAGGTGCGCAACTGGCATACCATCGCGCAGCCTCTATGCTTCAGGCGCATATTTGGGTATCAAAACTTGCCCCGCACAGGATCAGCAGCTTATGGAGTCCATTTCACTTCTGGACATGTCTTGACAATAGGGCGCGTCTGCGTTTAGTTATGATGAGAGTGATTCCACCAAGACAAGACGCAACGCAGATGTGAACAATGTCTACGCCATCAACCATTCCCAAAGGCCAAATTAAGGCGGTCCTCTTCGACTTTATGGGCACCTGTCTAGACTGGCACTCTAGCATCCTGTCCATTCTGCCCTCCGCACTTTCCGACGAGACAAAATCCAACTTCGCTCTCGAGTGGCGACAGACGTATTTCGATGCCAACACAGCCCGCATCCAGAATGGCGAGCTACCAGAAGACATCGACATCACTCATCGGCGAACCCTCCTCGACATGCTCGACAGGCATCCAGACATGAAGCCTCTCTTCACCCATGAAGTGCAAGAGAAGGCCATTGCAGCATGGCACAGGCAGAAAGCATGGCCTGAAGTGTCTGAGGCACTGCGCAAGCTCAAGGAGGAGCATGGGTGGGAGATCTACGTGCACGCGAACGGCACGACGCGCCTGCAGCTCGATATCGTGCGGTCCTCAGGCTTGAGATTTGATATGTTGTTTTCGAGCCAGTTGTTAGGCTTCTACAAGCCCGCACCAGAGAACTATCACAGGGCGTTGGAACTACTCAAACTACGGCCTGAAGAATGCGTCACCGTGGCTGCACATACTTCGGATCTGAAAGGCGCAAAGGCTGTGGGCATGAAGACGGTTTATGTGAGGAGGTGGACGGATGATATACGGGAAGACCAGGAGGCGATTAGAAGAGAGAATGATGCGTATCTCGAGGACATGCGGGAATTGAACAAGGTCATTTCGAAGTTGTAGATCGCTAGTATTGATTCCAGCTGCTCTAGTGAATTGGACATGTCCCACAATTTTTTTTTAATCACGACTCAAGTTTCCGAGTCTATTGTAAGCCCATACCTCATTTCCCTGACATAGCTTCTACGAATCATTATCCGTGCCATTCCTAAACATCCACCCTCGAGAGCTTGAACCCCCCTGGTACCCTGCGCTGCCACCAACCGTAGGGGTCATACTGCTTTGCCACATCCTTCAGGAACGCCACATTCTCCGGCCCATAACTTCCCAGGGGGTCTTGGCTTGTATCTGCGTAGTTTAAGTAGATCAAGTCTGCAGCTGCGCCGCTTGAGTCCGCAAATTCCTTCAAGTTGGCTGTCATCGTGCTCCATTGTGCCTTTGCGATCCCCAATGCGGTGTCGTCTCCATTTTCTATCGCGACACCTCCGGTCCATAGAATAGCGTTGGACGGAATACGCTCGAGGCCCAGCATATTGCCGCCTTTGCGTTTTCCGATGACGCCGAAGTAGGACGGAAGAGGTTGGAGAAACATCTGCGTCGTGAAGT